CAAACGTATGTCCAGACATTACTGGCCAAGTTTGGGTGTGGTCACGAGGCATAATTCAGCCCCTCAGTGGGGGGGGGGGGGCTCTCGATAGGCAATTGGGTGTGGCCTAAGGGCGACATTGTCCTCTTCCCTGGGGGGAAAAAAATAGTACACAGCAGCTGTTCTAGACATCAAATCCCCTCAGACACCATGAATTGTCTATTTCCCAACAACACTTTCCTTCCAAGGACATATTATTTTTCCAAATCTCCCAGCCAACAAAAATTTGCCTGACGAGCAGATATTTTGAGGAACAGATCCATTGGGTGCCCCTGAGCATTGATGCCTCAGCTGATGCCTGCGCTTTAATAAGTTTGAACTGGTTCTTAACTCATAAAGCTCGGCTGCTATGTGGATTCTATTGACAACTTGTGTCATCAGGAGCACGTATTGTTGGGTTATGCAGTTGGTCAATGATATTGGACTCGTATGTGGTATACAAACATGGTGGAAGCTTTCGTTTGGGAACAAGAAAAGACATTCAACGAGCTTCTCAAGGCAGGTCAGGGTGGGTGGTGTTGGGCGGGGGGAGATGGGAGGGAATCAGAGAAGCCCGTTATTCAATAGCATTATAACCCACTGAGGGAGGCTTGTGCATGAAGGCCCAGGAATATACTTCAGCACATAGGCGTACGGGCCGGGGGGCGAGGGGGGCTGCAGCCCCCCCAAATTTTGGGCAACTCAGATTTTTTGGGCAGCAAGAGAAAATTTGGGCAAAGACAGTTTTTAAAGACGTCTCCATGTTTATTTATTTTAAAGACCTGAATATTAACCTGAAGTCGGCGTAATAATCCAGTTACATTACAGTGGTTGCCTAGCATGTGATGAGTAATTTACATGTTTGCAGTTTTTTTTGGTTGGGCACTATACTGCACTGCACTAGCTGGAATGGGCTATTTCCAGTCGTGAATTGATTAAAATAAACTTTCGCATAACTTTCTGGAATCATCTCCACTCGAAGAACAGAGTATGACAGATAGCATTTAGCAATGGGTATGAAAATGAAGAAGTGGCTGACTACTGAATTCTCAGTTTGAATTAGTATAGCGAGAAGAATCTTTATTCTTTTCATGACGAGATTCATAGAGATCTGAGATCGTAATAGGCGAACATCAGCAGGGGAGCTCTGTAGAAGTAATCAACGTTTTACGGCTCATTTGCTTGGAGGTGACAAATTCTCATATCAACGGAATTCCTGTACGTCAACAAGTTTTCGGTTCAACAAAAAACTCAACTACAAATTAGCCGCATTGGAAGTCTTTCTGCCGAACCGGAATGCATTTGCCTCTGTAGTGTCTTCTCTTAAAATTTATTGTACTTCGAGAAGAGTGATTTTACGCACTTCTTACTGGGGAATTTTCTATTGTATATTTTGTTTACTTGTATTTATTAAACACTAAGCGTCAGTTATTTAACTGGTATATTACAAAATCGCGTCATAATTAAGCTCTTTTCTGTTTAACCAACGCTTTTATCACACCCCATTTATCGTGAATAATTTCAATACAGCATAACAGACTGGAAAACTAAAGCACTTATTTTCTTAAACTAACCCACCAAGAAAGAGACCTGGAGGTCCAATGATTTCTGAAACCGCGGCCTAAGGTAACCCGTAATGGTTTGAAAGTAATGTCACTCTATTTTCTTTTGGTAATTGTGAAGAAGACCTCCCCAAAAAACCTGTCGGTCGACTGTCGGTCAACTGTCGGCCGTCTGTCGACCGACAGTCGGCCGACTAGGCATTGTTGGGCGATTTGTACGTGAAGCCAAGCAACACGACTGAGAAGCTTCCAAAGTAGCTTTCTTGTAGGATTTCAGAGATTGGGATTAAATCACCTCTAAATCTGATTTCATTGATTGCCTTGTTGTCTTTCGCGAATAATATATCCGTTTCGCATTTCAAAAGCTTTCTATAAACATGTCGGAAGAAATCGTTTTACCATCGATCGGTAAGTAAGTGATGTCTATCGAGATTATTATCGTTTCTACCGGTATGTCATCTATAAGGCGTGTTTTCTCAACAATTTTCTTCTTTGGGAAACTGTCGGTAGCCTGTCGGTTAGCTGTCGGTAGCCTGTCGGTAAACTGTCGGTAATGTGTCGGCCAACAGTTGACCGACAGTCGACCGACAGGTTTTTTGGGGAGCTCTTCTTCACAATTACCCATTGTTTCGTTTCCTTCATCTCTGTCCTGAGTTCTAGATGAGCATGATAACCGCTAACAGATTGGCTTGCCATGACATTGCCATTGTTACTGTTGCTAAGGACTATGCCTATGTTTAGAAAAACCAACACCTAACATTCTTTAAAACGTCATTTTCTTACTTGTTGAGATCAAATACAGAGGTACTGCTAAGAGAGTAGTTTGCTGTGTCATTGTTCCTTGGGATTGTGACTGATGCTTTAAAAGTTTGTCATTTTCTTAATCCCCGAGATCAGTCTGAATCACCTGCTGCTTAGTTCATCAACAGTTTATTCCAACAAGCTCCAAACTTTTTCAAAACCAGCGACCATAGCATGCAAAACTTGAGTGTTTTGCGTCGTTTGGCAACAGCATAATAATTATTCCTCTATTACCTTTAAAAACTCATATATCAGGTGTTTACTGAAGATTGTGTAAAATATGTCTGTATTTGATTTTTCTTTCATCACATAGCTAACCATACAGCTAACCAAATACAGTATAATATACAAGTGGATGTTCAGGTGTAAACTGAATTTAAGAAGATCCCTTTTTTCCAAAATCTCTATCGACATTATCATACAAAGCACAGTATTAAGTATTGCTTTAGTGGAGTGATAATAGTTGCCCTTCTGTGAATGTTTAAAAGTACACTGACTGGAAATGTATCATGTAATTTAAATGCACATGTCTCTTGCACTTAAGGGGCTGTTTTATACTGTTCTCTTTGGTTAAGTTGGTTTGGCAACAAACCTCTAACTGTTTTTGTTATGTGCAGACATTTTCCAAAAGCATCATTTTCTTACCCGTTGAGATAACGAGGTATATTTTTTGTCAACTGATCCCACATTTAGGCCTTAAATTTTGATCCCTGATCCCGTGAATTTTTTTGATCCCTGGATTCAATCTGGGTTGGATTAACTGAAAAAAGTGTTTCTCTTTTTGATTTTTTTTTACAATTAGTCACATCATCTACTGACTGGAGAATTAAGGTTGGTTCCAGTCTGTTCTTTTGAGTTATCATAAATTCTGTGCAGGAAATATATTTTTTAAAAAATCTCCCAGCCAGCAAACATTTGTCTGAAGAACAGATATTTTGAACCATAATAAAAAACGTGTCTGTTTATATCCTGTCTTTGCAGATAGCCCAATTAACATATGAAAATCACAACTTAAAAGAGAGGCTCAGCTTGTTAACAACAATGAGCAACGAACTGTTGAAAGAATACGAGGAATGTAGGAGACAATTAGAGATGAGAGGTTAAATGCCCTTTTGTAATGGGGTATTTTATTCTAACTTCACTTAGTTTTAATTGGAAGTTTTGTAACATAAGATATGTAGTTTTTATCTTATGAATTATTTAACACTATTATATTTATTATCACTATTATTATTACTATTATTTCTAAAATGACTGACAAGAATGTTGGTCCAAGATTGTAACAAAGCAACTATCAAAAAAGAGAAGTTGGAGGAATATGAATACAAAGTGTTTGTTGGGCTTCACTGTCAACTGCTCCCAAAACCCTGAAAACCCACATTTTAAAGACAGATACTTGTATGCTCAGGTGTATTATGGTTTGTCAACTGAAGAAACTCTATGGCTTGTGTCAAGGCACAATATTCTCTCCGCAAAGAGAACACACGTTTAAGAGAAAGACTAAGAAGTCTGGAGAGTTTTGTAAAGGTGAGTGGTGAATTGCAATAACAAACAATTTAGTGTTGTAAAACCTGCTTATAAAAAAACATTTTTTGATAAATTGTCACATTCAGTGAAATTTACATGCATTATTCCCCAATGTTAGCATGTATGCTCAGGTGTATTGTGGTTTGTCAACTGAAGAAGCTCTATGGCTTGTGTCAAGACACAATATAACAGCAGCTATGCATCATTTGGTCATTTCGTCATGATATTGATAAATCTGTAGTCTCCTTTAATTCTCATAAATTTCATTTTTAATTTCATCCAATTTGTAAGGTAAAACGTGTGACAAAATCATATAAAGTGTAAACTTGACCCTTGCAAATCAGTAAAACATTGTTTGACAAGGGTCTGTTTATAGAAACAGATGGATAGAATCATCAACAGAATCAATTTTCCACTATTCAAACGTCCGATGCTTGGTTCATCAACAAATTATTCAAACAAGCTCCAACCATGGAGTTACCCAACATGGCATACAATTCTTAATGTTAGGTGAATTTAAGATGATGGACAAACCTTTCCAATAGCAATGACCAGAGCATGTGTGGTTTGGCACCATCACAATTTCTCTATTACCTTAAAAACCCTTCCTGTACCAGGAGATGCTCACTCAAGATTGTTTATATGAATGTATTCACTGAGATCAATCTCACATCACCTGCTGCTGAGGTTCATCGACATAATTTTATTATTCTAACAATCTCTAAACCTAAAGCATCTTAAAATTATTGCATATAGCCTTCCTGTTGGGCAAGTTAACGATGACAGACAAATTTTTTCCAAAACCAGCCACCCAATCATCCATAGGATCAATTTAAAAAATACTTTCCAGTTCTTAAAATGTTTACTTTTTTGGATTATTCTGACGCAAAAGAGTTTCTTATACATCTTCAAAAGAGAGTCGGATGGGATAGTAGTTCTCAATTGTCAAGCAGCATAATTACGCAATGCAACAAACAAATTTACCTTCCATTGCCCAGATGCTGGTTTGACTGTAACAAACACCCTATATATTCAGGATTCATTCAGTACATGTGAGCAAAAAACCTTGATGGAAAACAAAAGTACCTTTCAATGTGTACCTCTGGCTGTGTACCATCTACAGACAAATATCTCATGAACTTACTAGGAAAAGAAACTCCAGTAGTAAAAGCATATCCAATAAAAATTCAGCCAAACACAATTCCAGCTGAAGTGGATACAACACTTCTTACTGAAAAGCCTACAAATGTAGTGAAATATAATTTAGACAAAGTTAACCTAAAAGCAATGCTGGTCAGCGCCGTTTTCCCAGCAATGCTGGGGTGGCCCAATTCCTTTTGCAGGGGCACCTCTTGACTTGTATATGCAGATGCTTGCTTTCAATTCAAAGACAAGAAAAAAAAGTAAGAAAAACCAAGTAAATCCAAGCAGTTTGAGGCCGCAAGCAATGTAATCCCTTGAAGGACAATCAGAATTTTCTCGCCCCAATACATCGAGTTAAAGTGAACTCAGTTAACAAAGTTTCCAAGTCGAAAGAAACATGCTCCTGTTCCTGTTAGACCCATTACAATAAATGTAAGGGACCAAGAAACAAAAACCAATTATCTGACGAAGACAGAGAAGCTTTATTTGCCAAGCTGCCTTTTCTTTGGGTTTCCACTCCCAAGAATGACGCCTCACTGGTAGTGTAACTAAACCCAAGTTCAAGCCAAGTTCCACTGACCACCCAATGTTCAACCGCATTATACACTCCTTATCAAGCCCAAATAACTGGGTAGCAATGACTAATCCACCCACCATCTTGATTCTTTGACTTGTCAAAAGACAGCATCAAATTTATGATTTTGACATAAAACCTTGTCATCTGATACGCAAGACCCTATTTGATTGGCAAAAAAGATGGCTGCAGAGAACAAGACAGTTTTTTTCAAGTTGGATGCGATGTTCCATAAGAACGGGTAAATGAATTTCATTTTTAAAAGAAAGTTGTTTTTCCTGTGATTTTCATTGATTTGGTTTGGTTAACAAAATATTTGTTTGACGATTAGTTTTCAGGGAAGTCCTGCGGGTCTTATGAGACTGGTTCGCAGCTTTAACAAAAAGAATCAAGAGAGCAACGAAGAAGCAAGGAGGAGGTTTTTTCGACGTATTTTTGGCATTTTATGGGAAACTTTCAATTTTAATTTGATTTTTCTTTCAGATTTGATGAAAAAATATCATAGTTTTCAGTTTTCAGGTTACATATTAATGCTTATGCGGGCTTATCACCACACCACATACCATGTATTTTTTCTGGGGATGTTGAATTCACTCTGTTAACCAACTTCCGCCACAAGGATATCAGGAATGAGTAATCATATTCTAACCCTTCTGCTAAAAGTGTATAAGAACTTCCTCTACGACTGTAAAGGTATTTATGACCAAAAGATAACTTTTAACTGATGCAATAGAAGGGTTTCCTAGAAAAAGGGTGCTTGTGTTTGTTTACTTGGAAAAAAGTCACAAGCTCTCATTTTCTATTAAGAAAATTCGTAAAAAATTGCATTACTTCTGATTGCCTCCAAATTTGGCCCACCAGAAGTTAATAATTGTGTGGCAGTTTCAGCCCCACAGTCGGTTATTAGCTTCATGCAATGATCTTTTAAGAACTGAGAAAAATGGAAGTCGATGCGGCAAGGATTTGCTGCAGCTTTTGCAAAGAATGAAAGATTGCATCAACAAATTTCGACCAAATACAAGTCAAGCAAATTATTTTGAAGGATTCTGGAGGATAACAAGCGAAATAAATGCGAAAATTGTAGTAGGAAAACAGTAAGAATCTTTGTGTGCAATACGCCAAGCCAGCTATGTATGCCAGGCAAATTCTTCACACACAATGAATTCCCGGTCGGTTGGCTTTTTGCCTTCAAGGCCTTGCTTATTTTGATGAATACCATCAACAAATTCAAGTTTGCTTGTTTTTAATTTGATATTTCAATGAAAAACTAAACAATATAGCGTCTTTTGGAAGTAAATAGTAAATCATGTCGTGTCACTGAACAGTGTTCCATATTTTGGAAGTTCTTTACCTTATTAATTGCATGTTCCATGTGAATTCGAGGGAAGGCAACATGTTGTGTTTGCACAACTTCCTCTGGTACCAACTCTTCTAATGCAAAAATGATTGCATGTCTTCTGAGTATAGAAATGAATTTAGCAGTAACTTGATCAAGTCACTTCTGTACATCACATATACTTTTTCACAACCAGTACATCATGGAGGAGGAGAACGTCCCAGAAAACTTGCCCATTGTCAAACAAGGACGTGCCTGTGACATCTACCACATGACATAGTTAGAGATACTTTCGAATATTTTGAAATTAATAAACAGATTACCACTGACAAGGGAGACTTGGTTCTTTCAGAGTCATCTGACCATGAACGAGGAGGAAATTACAGCTAAGATACCAAGAGTTAAATCATTGACCATAATTACTTCTTCCTAGACTCTGAACTATCCCAATAGTTACTTCATAAGTGTAGAGGTCTCTTGCTTTACAAGAGTCACTTGCCATCATAAAAAAAGCCTGAGGCAATTGACATCAAGAAGGAAATGGGGCATTAGCTGTCCAAGTAGGACATAGCCACCGTCCAATATGACTCACTTCTCCTATTACTGGATGAAGTTGGCCTTTAAGGGCAAAGAATCATTGTGTCGGAGGCAATGCTTCCTATCAATCTCATAAAAGTCTGAGCGGTATGCAAGATGCATTTTTTATGGTTCACAAGTATTACATTCAAGCAAACCCCTTCTTCAGAAAACAAACTGGCCATAAAAGTGAAGAAGACTAAACTCATGCTTACCGGGAGTAAGACCATGCTTTTGTTATTTGATGATATTGACTTACAAATGAATGGTACACAAGTTGAACATGTGCAATCATGTAAATATCTTGCAGTAATAATGGATGAAAAATGGAGTTAGAAGCCATATATTAGTAACTTGTTAAAGAAGCTAGGTCATCACCTGTCTGTGTTTAACAGAATCTTTTATAAGCTTGATAATAAGACTTGTATTGCGTATTTTAATGGCTTAGTTTTACCCCATTTAGACTATGGTGACATTGTATGGGGAGATCAGCCTAGTTTGAAATCTGAAATGGATCATTTACAAGCATTTCAGAATAAAAGAATTCTGGATAATAAGATCTCATCATCCAAATTAAAGCACTCAATTCCCTACAATGGATCCCTCTGGCTGAACAACGTTTTGCTCACCAATTAATGGTCAGCAGTTCAAGATGCAATTAAAGGGGAAATACCAGAGCACCTAGAGACTTTTAAAATAACCTTAAGAGACTTGCGTGGACATAACACAAGAAACAGTTACTTACCTAGAATTCCAAACCCAAAAACAGAATGTGGAAAAAGGACAACTCACTACAGGTACATTAGTGACTGGTCAACTCTTCCGAATTTTTTAAGGAAACCTATTCAATAGGTTTCCTTGCAAAATCTTACAAAAAGTACTTACAAAATTTTTAAACATGACCTAAAAAAGTTTTTAAGAGCCAAATATTGTAGTTTGTAAATTTTCATTTTCTCCTTTTAGTCGTTCGCCTTTGTTTTTTCAATAGTTAAATCTTTCAGTCTGATTGCATTTTTATTACTTTTTTGCCTTCTTTAGTCATCTAGCCTTTTTAGCCTTTCAACTTTATAACCACTAGTTTTTTAGATTTGATTGTTATTATTAGTTTTAATATTATTTAATATTAGTCAGAGGACCTCCCTGAAAACCACTTTGTGTGATGGGAGTTTCCTCTATAAAGATTATTTTCTTCTTATTATTATTATTATTGTTATATCTCTTTGGTGAAACAAAGTTTACTCGTGTTGACCAATTTGGCAAATCATGAAAATCTTAATGTTTTCGTTTATATATTGAAATGAACTCAAACAAGAACTGCATATGTCAAAGATAATAAAAACTGTTGGTGAGCCTCGACAGATCCTGAGAACGTGTGACAAGTGTTCATTGGGTATTCTTTTTACTATCATTTGATGCAAATTTATAATTCGTCATTTTTCTTTCTTATGAACTCTGTAAAGCGCTACAGTCGAACCTTCGGTAAGCGACCACCCAAAATGCAAAGGCTTGGTGGTCGCTTATGGGCGGTGGTCACTCACAAGAGTTGGACCGCAAAATCATTAGCTATTCTATGTGATAGCTCATTTAATGGAAGTAAACTTTATTGGATAACGTGTGTTATAAATTTGTGGTTAAAAAATGTTACTTGTGTACATGACATCTTGTACAGAAATGTCCCTAAGATGTCTCATGAACAAAAACTTAACTTCTTAAACTGAAACCTAGAAATCTGAGTCTTTTTCTCAAGGGTAATGGTTAACATTGTAGTCATAGATTGAACTAATAAACACACTAACAGAAAGAATAAATTCCTTTTTGTCAAGTTTTATGATGAATTTCTCTGATTAGTAAGACCATGTGTCAAGTGGTGCTTACCGGAGATTGAAAACAATAGAAAATTCTAAATCTGTCAGCTGAAATAGTGGTCGTGGTTGTTTACAGGAGGTGGTCGTTTACAAGAGGTTCCAGTATAAGGCTTTGACTGAGAACATTAATTTTTCGGTGTTTTGGGAAGGTGGTCGCTTATAGGAAGTGGTTGCCTAGGGGAGGTGGTCACACGTCTAGGTTTAACTGTTTTGAGTTTTTGGAAACAGCGCTATATAAATAATGTCTATTATAATTCTTCTTATTATTATCATTATTATTATTATTATTATTATTATTATTATTATAAGTAATGAGTCATCTGTCACCCCCCTGTCAGCACCTTCTGCACAATCTGCCAGAACCGACCTTGACAAGCATCACCACTTACCTATTTGTTTTCAGCCTCCTTCTTCATCAAGATGGCAGTGGTAAGACAAGGATGATGATACGAAAGAGTGGCCAATGTTTGGTTGTCTCTGTAAAAAGACAAATGGACAAGATAGTTTGTTCGTCTTTCAAAGACTTGTTCAGGACAAGTTTTTGCAATAAGTGACAAAATCAACCTCAGCTTTACTAGCCTCCACTAAAAAAAGGTTTTAACAAGGATGTCAGTGCAAGCCACTTGTACAAGAGGCTCGTTGAAGTGTTCCTCTGCCAGTCAAAGTCAGAAGTTTTGAAACACTGAGGACACTGGAACTGAGTTTGAAGTCCCACTTACACTACAGAAAAAACTGGGTCCGGATTGATCAAAAAGTGGTCAGGACCAATTTTTTTTAACCGTTTACACGGGTAACAATCAGGTTAGGCTTATGATTGAAAAGCACAATAGTACACATGCGCAAAACCACCGTAAAGCATGGCAGGCTCAAATGAAGAAGATTGTACGGAACAAAGATGCGTTTACACAGTGCTTTCAAACAGCAAAAGGGGTCCGGACTCATTTTTTTTTCGGTTTTGGGGCCATAGGCGGATATGATTTTCCTATTTGAATGCTATTTTATGACTATAAGGGTTGACTAAAATCTCTTTCCAAAAGCTAAGTAAATTATATGTATAGGCTACGTGGTAACTATGTCTTTTCTCCATTTATTCCACATTTAAAATCTGCATAGCTTCTATATAGCAAGTTCCATTTAAGGTTTAACAGAAGACCTGTGAAATCAATGCTGCTAGTCAAAACGTTTTTGGACTAGCTGAAAGGACGTCTGGGCTATTAATGCTAGCTTCAGCTTGCCGGAATGGCCAGCTGTAAAAATGATTTTCTTTACACCCTGTAACTACCAAAAACATAGCATTTCTGATGTAAAACATAGTCCTGCCATGGAAAAAACATAGGAACTGGTAAAGGCAATGTATAAATCATTAACATGATTAGAACTTAGTCCTCTTTTATGCCATATGTATAAGATCAATCCTAGTTTAATCAGCGCCTGTTTTCTTTTATGCTCTGCCCAAGTATTTATAGTGTGAGCGGGTGCGGGTCCAAAAAAGGGCATTATCGATCATTTGCCCCAATCTGTCTTATGACGGGGCACTTAATGAAGCTGGTATTCCAACCATTATTTCATATTACGAGGACATATGTGACAAGGTTTTTACCAATACCCTCAGCAACAAGGATAACAAACTTAACAAGCTATTAACTGAAGCCAATAAGGCTCCATATTTACTAAGAAATCACCGACACTTTGCACTTCCAAAGTGGAAGACGGACCGTTTTAAGAACACTTTCATTTTGTCATCGTGCCACCTGTTTCGGTGTGAAATCAGTCTGCCAGTAGACTGGAACGGGTAGCGCATGTGTAACATTTGTGATTTTGAATCACACGTGTATTTTGTCAACATGACGTGTACCCTCAAATAACGAGATATGAAATGACCCAGTCATTATGTAAACGCGATACAAAATCAAAAAGTCATATCCTGGTATGAAACTCGTGCTGGTGCACGTTTTCTCACCTAAACACCCCCTAAAATTTTCCAATTGTGACTAACCAGTACTCTCAGTGGTAGATATCTGCATGCACAGCAGTGGTCAAGCATGCTTGACAGTTATAAAAATATATATATATTCCCGACTTAAAATCAGCCTTGCTTCTTTTGTTTAATATTTTCACTTATTGCTGATTAGATCCTTCATTACGATCGGTCCTTCTTTTTTTTTGTAAGCTGGTTCTTGCTTTAAAAATTGAATTTGAAAAGTATCGCCGCTCGGCGTTTAGGCATTGACCTCTCAGAGAAAGAAAACATAGGAAAACATTCTTGTTGACTACTCATAGACTGTGACAATTAAGAAAAAAAGCAGCGGCAGCTTTGAATGATTTTCAAATGAAGGTCGGAAATCTAATTGAGCTTATATTAAAAAAGAACCGGTCAGTGTAAAACACAGACTGCGGACTGCAGACTGCAGACTGCGGACCAGGGGTAAACTGCAGACTGAGTGTAAAATGCAGACTGCAGACTGAGAGTAAAAAACGCAGGCTGGGTGCAAAATGCAAAATAAAGACTGTAGACGTTTTTAAACATTTGTGCTCCTTCTTCTCCAAATCGGTGAAAAGGTTAGCGGTATCAGTTACACACATCGCTTCCTAGTCGAAGTGCATTGCACATTCGCCTGAAGTTTCAATGAACATCCTTAAGTCTGTGTACCTTGATTTGCAATACTTTCATAGAAGGTCATCCAAATTTCCTGCAGAACATCTTTCTTTGTTGTTGGAATGATTTAATTACTCCCTTTTTCATCGCCATAATTCTTCCTGTACAGTATTTTGGGTCAGCAGCTTTCATTTAAGCGTAAACATCGTGGTGTTGCACCAATTCACGGTCCCTGGTCAAGTATATCGAAAACTTCACGTCTAAAGTTGAAGCGTGAGGTCTCTCGGACAGAAAAAAAGGTTCAAGATTGCGATTATGTTTTTGGGTCGTCAACGACGTTCTAGAGAGGAAAGTCCTAAATGGATTTGTGAAAGCAGATGTTGTCAAGTAGTGTTCGTTTACATGTATTTTCAATTCAAGTTACCGGTAACTCGAAAAACTTTGAATCGACAGAAAGGCTAGGTCAACACGTAAGTTATAACGATAAAACTTTCTCAGTATTAGTTAATATACAGTACAGTAGCCCATGAAATGCTGCGAAATGTGAGACAGACGTAAGATAAAGATTTATAAGCTTATGCTACTCCTGTCGACGGAGGAGCAGTTGTCCGTGTTACTGTTTGGCGTCTACTAAAATTACACAAACTGCTAACGAATCAGTCCAAAAACATGTTTTCTAATTGACTTACACAGAGACAAAGTTTTTTTTAAAGTGCCAAGAACTAAAGCATCAGTGCAAATGAAGAAGAAGAAGAAGAAGAGGAGGAGCTACAAAAAAAACCCACCTACCATCTATCGCCGACTTGCTCTGAGTAACGAAATACCAAAGCTACGTCACTGGTTAGCGGCAAGAAACGTGGGCTCACGAGATCTGGAGCCCATCAAAAGCACTTTGTCGGATAATTTTCTCTGTTTAGACTAATTCTTTTTAGAATCGCATAATTAAGTAAAATCTCGCATTCTGATTGGTTAACGAAGCGAGGTATTTAGTGTGGAATTGCGAGTTGAAAACGAGGCTAAGCAATATTGTTTCGCATCTACGTAATAACTATCGTCAAATTCTAACACAACAACATGCAAAAAAGGTTTTCTACAATGTCATTTTAAAATGTTTTCAAAACCATTCATTGTCACTTTTTGAAGAGTTAAAAACAAACAAAAGTGTTTTTTAAAGTGAGCCGGAGGTTCTTCCTTGTTTTGAACTGAACTACAGATTCTCGAAGAGACATAAAACCTCTTTCGCTCGCGACAACCAGAAAACAAGAAAATCCTGTGAACACGGCCCAGAAAATGGCAATCCAAAGTTCAACCAAACAAAACGGAGAAGCGACAACGGAGGAAGTGCCGGGGTCGATTGTCCCATATACAGAAGAAGAAATAAATACCTTCAAAGAGGACATGGCCCTGAAAACACGAAAAAGTACGCCGCTTGCAATCGTCCTGAATCGTGGTACTTAGAAAAGTACAAAACAGAGCTGAACTTGAACAGCATTTCTAAAACATTTCAATGTACTTACCTTATGTCAATCGTGACGTTAAACATGTTAAACTTTCAGTGCTTTTCGCTTGGACACTTGATTTCTTTCAGTTTTTCCGCCTTGAAGAGGTAAAAGGTGTAAATTATTTTCCTTCTCGAGCAAATGACCAATTTGAAAAAAAGACGTTCTACATAAATGGCCTCTAAATTCAGTAAAATACCCTATTTATCCTTACGATTAGTGTCAAGCTTGTTTACATGTCAAAAGTTTGAAAACAAATGTGAAAACAAGCAGAAGGTACAAAAAAGTTGTCGAAGGTTCAAGCGTATGCGACTGACCTTGCTTCCTATTCGCTAACGCAATGACAGTTCTGACAGTTGACTTTGAAATGGCTTTCTGGAGCGCGCGCTCAGGATAAAAACAAACAATATTATTGCTGTTTTCTTTTTTTTTCTTCTGATTTTTATTCAATTATGCGATTCAAGGAAAATTCATAACCTGACTCGAGAATTCCACGTTAAATTGCACTTGAAAGCGATATCGCACTCATCGCTTCGCGATTCGTGCGATACCGGTTTTCGCGTGCAATTTAACGTGGAATTCCCTCGTCAGGTAATGAATTTTCCTATAGAATCCAACCATTACATTCAACTCTTGATAAGTTCTTTGTTTTCGCTCGAGAACTACCATACGTGTGCATAAACATATCTTCTACTACTTGAAACGGTTATACTGATGAAAATCAAGAGAACAGACTTTTTTTCAACGAGACAACATTCCTATTTAGTATTTTGGTATCACGCACTCTGAAAACTGGGAAGTTCAAATTGCTGTATTTTCGAAATGAAACGTGCTACGGGAATGGAAACTTGTACAAAGATTTACTTTTTGTTTATCTTCAACCCAGTGTAAATGAGAATTCGTAAAACTTCGCTATTTTGACTTTACAATTTGATGACGTCACTGTGAAAACCATCTATACATGTTACATGTGATAAAGTACGAAGGACTTTATTGCAGATTCCTAGTTCCCAATATGATATCCCCTTCTAGAGGGAGACTTCTTCAAAAACAGATCAGATTACTCTGTTTCGTTAACAGGTTTCTGCGTTCATGTTATATGAATGCAGCGCAAGTTGCTTATAATAAAGTTTAAATGATCATATTTCAAGTTCCAAGGACTGACTTGAGTTTTGTGTAAAATTCTGTTTTAGCATAGTTCTACGTATAGTTCTCCCCACTAGCCATCTTAAGTTTTTTTTTTTTTTTCTCGAATGGTAAAAATAGTGTAGGGTATATGAATAATAAAACATAAAGAGGTACATTACCAAATCCATTAATTTGTCGGCGCTTTTCTTCATATGTCTCATATCGGGAGGTGAAGTGGTTTCCATAGCAGGGAGATTGATAACTTGTTACTGTATACAGAGAATGAATTAAAGTTTCAATTACAAACAGTTGTGTTACGATTGTTACAAGATCTCCTCGCTGCCGAGTTCATTATCCACAAACGTGCGAATCTATGAAAATATCATTTTAACGAAAAACTATATAAAAGCGCTTAATTCAGTTAGCTTCAGTTGCTTTATTTTGGATATCATTTACAAAGTACGAGCACACATTGTCGAACATTTTACAACCGTTATTTATTCATTTGAAAAAAGTATAGAAAATAAATAAACATAGACTGAATGAAATGAAATAATCTGTTCTTTAAATGCAGGGCTCCAGTGAATGTAATTTTACCGCATGTGTAAGCGGTGAAGTGTAATCATTTCTGAATCAGTAATTTTTGATTGACTCTTGACCAATGGTACTCAGGTTATCATTGTTCCATAGATTTTCTTATAGAAACTTGTTTATGAAAAAAAAAACTTACCGAGTCAGCTTACTCTTGGTTAGACTAATCCTACAAGAAACTTTCTTGACAAATAAACAAAGGTTTCAGCAACGCATTGCAGTGACTTTGTGAAGCAAGTTTCTCCCTTTACCTTTTCCGTGTAAGACCGTTTGCTCAATTCTTCAGTTCTTCTTTAACGGGTTTCGCGGTTTTATAGTCGAAACGCAGCAAATTTGGTAAATATTAGTAGACAAGACAAACTGAAAGTAGTTTAAGCTGAATGGTAAACTGAAAGTGGTTCGATTAAAACGGTAACACATTTTTGGTTGTCGAGCGCGAAAGCCATGATGTCAAATCTTATTGGTAGTTCACTGCTAATCAATTGGTTAACTTGAGACAATGGCGTGGAATAATTAACAAGCAAGGGGCAACAATCAAGAGATGACAAACATTCTGGCGTGTCGAATCAGTAATCTTGAAAATCATTGATTATGATAATCAAAAGCATGGACTACAAAAAAATGCTCAAAGCCACAAACACCTCCTTTTTAAAGCAGGAATATTTTACTATTTTTAAAATAAGCTACCTCAGATTTGCTAAGCTCCTTTTTTTATTGCCTGCGTGCAGACGTCTCAACAAAGGAAATAGGAGACGTCTGCACGCAGGCAACTTTTTTTTATGGGTTAAAAACCTTGCACTTAGTTGTTTATTTTTTCCTTTACGCTACTTCATACATGACGAACTTTGTTGTGAGCATTGTTTAGGTTTTCACAGAGCAGGTGGAAGGGACGTTTTCACGTGGAAATTGATTCTAATTAATTCAGTAATAATCCAACTACACAAATAGCTTTTCAAACTCTTTGTGTGAGTAGTTTCACATGTTGAAGTCTTCGAGCACTCGTCAGGTGATTTGTGCCGGAGTGCTGACAATGCGCCAAAGCTTCAGTTCAAGGAGCAACATATGTGACAGTTTTACTCCTGTTACTTTTTAATTTCGAACATATGGTTGGAGACAGAATTTCACACCGAGAAATGAAGGTATGAGCTGCACGAATTTGTAGTGGTTAAAATCAGAAGCATATAACATGCTTCTGTTAAAATTTATAGCGTGGGTTGACCCTCATAGCCAATTTTGCTACAAAGCTACAAAAACATTGCCGTGTTTCAAAAACGAAAAAATTGTTCATTTGCCGCTAAAAAAGAACAAACTATGTCCCTGTAGTAAATGTTCAAAGTATAATGCGGTAATTTAGTTGTGCTGGCATTTTCATGCGATATAAGGATATTAAAGAATGTTTTTTGGGGGGAATCGGGAGTACTGGTTTGCTAATGAATTCAGAGCTGTAGTGGACCCAGTGGTTTAAAGGCTGATTAACGCTTAACCCAGGGTTAAATTTAACCCGGGTTTCTTTTCCTTTTGTTCAAAAGCATTTTCTCGGATAATTTCTTCTGTTATTCTTTAGACTGCAAAACAATCGGGTTTTTTTCTCAAAATCAGTAAAAAAAAAGGTAAAGTGTGGCGTAAGAGTCTTGCGTGCGAGCCTCACACGCCGTGTGAGGCGATAGAGACGTACTCTTAGTGTCTCTCCTTAGTCTCGCTCACTGTTTTCAACCTCGTTCCCGATCTTTTGTTTGACTGCTCGCGCGTACTTGAATACGCAAAAATACGGATTGTTTTACAGTGTAGTTATTCTTAAGAGCATCTTATCATCAACTTATTGAAAAAAAAAACAATTAAACTAAATTTACTTTTCAAGCTTTCATATCTGAATTCAAATTTCGCTCTTAACCTGGGTTATTTTAACAGTTTATTTGTAGTTATACACACTGGTGTGAGGGGTCAGGGTTGAAATAATGATGTCATTCCACTTCTTATTTCGAAGGATTCAGGAGCTTTTAAACATGACTTGGTTCGGAACTCGCACCACTGTACCCTTTTCTAACAATATTTGATGATTCACTGTATCAAATGCTTTTGACAAATCTAAGAAGAGGCTACAAGATAAAAGGTTACTGTCAATAGAGGCCTTCAGATTATCAGTGATCTCCATAATCGCTTGCTTAGTAGAATTGGAAAATGGTACTTAAATAATTAAAGCATTTTAGAACAAATTTTACCTGCCAGTCTGCAAGTCTGCATTTTTTGCTGTACTGTCCCAAGGACAAAACCGTAAAGTGAAAATATCTAGTTTGAGACGTACCAAAATCCACGTTTTACTCGAGGTTGGATTTCACTTCGACTAGACTATCCTGAAGCTTAGCATTGAATGTGTACTGAATCTCGTTTCCTTTTCTCTTAAAGGACTTCGTCTCCTCGCGTCGGATCTTCTTGATCTCGGGTAGTTGTTCGTCAGCAGCGTCAGCGCTAGATCTTTTGATTCCCTCAGTAGAATCGGCCACTTGCTTTGAGAATTACTCCAATAACGCCTTTAATATTTTCAGTCAAAGAAGCAGAGATAAAATTGATCAGCAGCCGGGCTGCTGATAAGACAATCGGTCGCACAAACAGACATTTTTTTCATTTTTTGCCAATCAGCCTAGGACTGTTGGTGAAGAGATCAGGCATTCCAGACAATTGAGGTAGTACTTATGTCCTTACACAAGGTAACATTAATTTCAAATGTCTTTTTTCATTAATTTTATTTCAGAGATAAACAGAATGAAACTCTGGGCGAGATTGAAAAACGGCTTGTTTCAAGCACAAGGAAATTAGACACGCTGCAACAACAAGTAAGCAACCAAGAGAAGAACTCAATAGATTACTGTGTGAATTTACTAGACAAGAAGAATTAGTGACTATTTTTTGTTGCAATAAATAGGGAACGCTTGTCTGGTTCTTCAATTTAAAAGGTGCAGGCTCAGTTTGTCTTCCTTTTGTTTTTTTTTTTTTCATTTCTCCAAATGTTTAGAACATGAACATGTCTCGAGAAACTAGAATGGAACTTTTTGAAAAGATGGAGTATTTAACGTTAACGGTAAGAAGCTTGCCTGCAATACAATGTGTTTGAATTCATTTCATTGAAGAGCTGTTCGTTCTACAGACTGGTGTGAGGAAACAGGGTTGAAGTAATGATGTCATTCCACATCTTATTTCAAAGGATTAAAGAGCTTCCAAACATGACTTGGTTCGGAACTCACACCTCTGTACACATCAACTAAAAGACGTCTAAAAAACTTATGAATTGATGACTGTAACTCTGATCACCATGAATGTTCTCCTTGTAATATCAATGCTTTGTGAAAAAGAGTGGTCATGAGAATATAAGACATGTTAACACAAGATGAATTTGTTTGATATTTTATAAACTTCTCCCCACTTGTTCTATAGGAAATGAATAGGAGCAACAAATGAGATTTAAAATTTTGATCTTCGGGTTTAAAGGGTTAACGTGATACCAGCCTCAGAGGAAGCTTTGAACCAGGGAATGTCGGGGAGCTCTTTTGACTAATATGCCTACAAGGAGGACCCAGGGTCACACCTCTCTATATTTATACGGAAACTGACTAAACTATTATTTTTACTCTTTTAGGTAGAAAAAAGCAATTCTCTCCGGGAAGAGAACGAAAATTTGAAGGAAAGACTCAGAAGTCTGGAGAGTTTGGTGAAGGTGAGTTGTGAATTGCAATAACAAACAATTTAGTGTTGTAAAACCTGGTTATAAATAAAAGAATTTTGATCAATCGTCATTTGAGTGAAATTTACATTCATCATTCCCCATGTTGGTGACAATGCTGTAAATTTTTGCTCATAATTTTGACGGTTAATAAATCAACCAAGTCATTTTAAGAAGGAACATGATTATTCGAGGTGTTTTCCCTGCTATTTCTGCACGAAACGTATCAGAGATAGCAAAAAAATGATGTTTTATTTTAATGTCAGAGTAGTTGTGTACAAACGTTGCTAATAACAAGTAAAAAATACTTGGTCTAACGGTGCTTTACACTGTATTGATATGACCTCTCCCTCCATTGAAGAGGTCCAACTTGTGAGTATTGTTCTGGTCGGAGGTCGACCCTTTGCAGACCTATGCTCTATCAACTGAGCCCACCCTTCAGCAGACGAAGTGATTAAGAAGTACCAAATTAACGTGTTACTCAGTTCATTATTTGACCCTTGTAGGAGCTGGAAGACGAAAGCAGGGCCTCCTGTGAAAAGGCCCTTGCTTTAGAAAGCCAGTTAAGTGTTTTGGAAAACATGAAAGAGAAAATAGGTGAGTAACTTTAGGCCTTCACTGCCGCAAGAGATGAAGGTTAAAACAACGAAAACTGTATGAATTGTGGGTAAAGTGACTGTCTCGTGGTTAAGAAATTTAATTGAAATTGAGTGGAACGTGGAGATACTACCTAGACTAGAATGAAGATGTGTACAAGGTGTACAATCGCAGCTCAACGTTAAGGTCAAGTAATACGGGCAACATTTTCGCACAACTTGTCGCGCAACATTGTTGCGTTGCAAGTTGAAAAGCGTTGTTGCCCGTATTACCACCTTCGCTCTCAACTTGTCACGAAACAAATTTCGATGTTGCAAGTTGTGGCAACATGTTGCGCAAAGTTGACCTGAGTTCTACTTTTGCAACAAACTTTCAATTTTATGATTCGCGTCACAACTTGCTACGCTTCACAACACCTGTGATTGGTCAATTTTCCGCACCAAAAACGCGGGAAAGATGGTGAGTAAAGCGCGCTCTTGACCTTGGGCAGATTTGGGCAGGAAGTAAACATGGCCGAGGTGTTGGAGGTTGAGAATGTTGAAACCCAAGATTGTGAATTTGTTAGTGAAAAAATGTCAGAGGCCCAAAGAAAAGATTTGTGCAAAGAACTTGAAAAGCACCCGTGTCTGTGGGAAACTTGTGGACCAGAGTACAAAAACAAGCCACGAAGGTCAAGAGCTCTGGATGAGTTATCTCAAAAATTTAATATTTCACCAAGATGTCTCAAAAAACAACTACACAGCCTTAGAACGGCATTGACAAGGGAAGTAAAGAAAGAAACCACAGAAGGTCAACAGTCGAGGTGGAAATTTTACACCGCTTTATCGTATATGAAAGATGACGTTGTCCGTTCTCTTAAAGCGAAGGAAGACGCTTCAGTGATTGAATTAGACACAAGAAAGCAAACAACTAACGCGCCCAAGTTAAGTGGTATTAGCCAGTTAAACAACTTCGAATATATTGAAGATGGTGGAATGACTGTCTCGAAGGCGTTTAAAGTTGGAGAAGGTAGGAAAATTTCCAAACAAGAGCTTGCTAAGGTGGGTCAGCCACAGAGTGAGACAGGGGTGAAAGTAATATTGCCTTTTTGTGATCCGGTTAACGCTACCGGGTTGTTAAAGGAAGCTTCGACGCGGCCGCCTGGTGACCAAGCCAAACAGACCGTCGTTTCTCCTACAAATGACGAGGGCATTCCTTGGTTCACTTGCCCCGAACAGGGCTGTATCAAGACGTTCAGAACAAATCAAACCCTTCAGAGACACTTGGACTTTGGCCGCCATGAGATTAAACTGCAAGATTGCAAAAGAACTGCAAGAAAATTTCGAAAAGGATGCACTGTTTTAAGAGGGAACCGTTAAATAACAGAAAAATATGAATATTGCTGTACTGTCCCAAGGACAAAACCGTAAAGTGAAAATATCTAGTTTGAGACGTACCAAAATCCACGTTTTACTCGAGGTTGGATTTCACTTCGACTAGACTATCCTGAAGCTTAGCATTGAATGTGTACTGAATCTCGTTTCCTTTTCTCTTAAAGGACTTCGTCTCCTCGCGTCGGATCTTCTTGATCTCGGGTAGTTGTTCGTCAGCAGCGTCAGCGCTAGATCTTTGATTCCCTCAGTGGAATCGGCCACTTGCTTTGAGAATTACTCCAATAACGCCTTTAATATTTTCAGTCAAAGAAGCAGAGATAAAATTGATCAGCAGCCGGGCTGCTGATAAGACAATCGGTCGCACAAACAGACATTTTTTTCATTTTTTGCCAATCAGCCTAGGACTGTTGGTGAAGAGATCAGGCATTCCAGACAATTGAGGTAGTACTTATGTCCTTACACAAGGTAACATTAATTTCAAATGTCTTTTTTCATTAATTTTATTTCAGAGATAAAAAGAATGAAACTCTGGGCGAGATTGAAAAACGGCTTGTTTCAAGCACAAGGAAATTAGACACGCTGCGACAAAAAGTAAGCAACCAAGAGAAGAACTCAATAGATTACTGTGTGAATTTACTAGACAAGAAGAATTAGTGACTATTTTTTGTTGCAATAAATAGGGAACGCTTGTCTGGTTCTTCAATTTAAAAGGTGCAGGCTCAGTTTGTCTTCCTTTTGTTTTTTTTTTTTTTTTCTCCAATGTTTAGAACATGAACATGTCTCGAGAAACTAGAATGGAACTTTTTGAAAAGATGGAGTATTTAACGTTAACGGTAAGAAGCTTGCCTGCAATACAATGTGTTTGAATTCATTTCATTGAAGAGCTGTTCGTTCTACAGACTGGTGTGAGGAAACAGGGTTGAAGTAATGATGTCATTCCACATCTTATTTCGAAGGATTAAAGAGCTTCCAAACATGACTTGGTTCGGAACTCACACCTCTGTACACATCAACTAAAAGACGTCTAAAAACTTATGAATTGATGACTGTAACTCTGATCACCATGAATGTTCTCCTTGTAATATCAATGCTTTGTGAAAAAGAGTGGTCATGAGAATATAAGACATGTTAACACAAGATGAATTTGTTTGATATTTTATAAACTTCTCCCCACTTCTTCTATAGGAAATGAATAGGAGCAACAAATGAGATTTAAAATTTTGATCTTCGGGTTTAAAGGGTTAACGTGATACCAGCCTCAGAGGAAGCTTTGAACCAGGGAATGTCGGGGAGCTCTTTTGACTAATATGCCTACAAGGAGGACCCAGGGTCACACCTCTCTATATTTATACGGAAACTGACTAAACTATTATTTTTACTCTTTTAGGTAGAAAAAAAGCAATTCTCTCCGGGAAGAGAACGAAAATTTGAAGGAAAGACTCAGAAGTCTGGAGAGTTTGGTGAAGGTGAGTTGTGAATTGCAATAACAAACAATTTAATACGACATTTGGGGAGGAAAGCAAACTGTTTTGAGGAGAATAATCAATTATTACGAATGGAGATGAGCCATAAACAAAAAGCTTTGAACCAGGGAATGTCGGGGAGCTCTTTTGACTAATATGCCTACAAGGAGGACCCAGGGTCACACCTCTCTATATTTATACGGAAACTGACTAAACTATTATTTTTACTCTTTTAGGTAGAAAAAAACAATTCTCTCCGGGAAGAGAACGAAAATTTGAAGGAAAGACTCAGAAGTCTGGAGAGTTTGGTGAAGGTGAGTTGTGAATTGCAATAACAAACAATTTAGTGTTGTAAAACCTGGTTATAAATAAAAGACTTTTGATCAATTGTCATTTGAGTGAAATTTACATTCATCATTCCCCATGTTGGTGACAATGCTGTAAATTTTTGCTCATAATTTTGACGGTTAATAAATCAACCAAGTCATTTTAAGAAGGAACATGATTATTCGAGGTGTTTTCCTGCTATTTCTGCACGAAACGTATCAGAGATAGCAAAAAAAATGATGTTTTATTTTAATGTCAGAGTAGTTGTGTACAAACGTTGCTAATAACAAGTAAAAAAACTTGGTCTAACGGTGCTTTACACTGTATTGATATGACCTCTCCCTCCATTGAAGAGGTCCAACTTGTGAGTATTGTTCTGGTCGGAGGTCGACCCTTTGCAGACCTATGCTCTATCAACTGAGCCCACCCTTCAGCAGACGAAGTGATTAAGAAGTACCAAATTAACGTGTTACTCAGTTCATTATTTGACCCTTGTAGGAGTTGGAAGACGAAAGCAGGGCCTCCTGTGAAAAGGCCCTTGCTTTAGAAAGCCAGTTAAGTGTTTTGGAAAACATGGAAGAGAAAATAGGTGAGTAACTTTAGGCCTTCACTGCCGCAAGAGATGAAGGTTAAAACAACGAAAACTGTATGAATTGTGGGTAAAGTGACTGTCTCGTGGTTAAGAAATTTAATTGAAATTGAGTGGAACGTGGAGATACTACCTAGACTAGAATGAAGATGTGTACAAGGTGTACAATCGCAGCTCAACGTTAAGGTCAAGTAATACGGGCAACATTTTCGCACAACTTGTCGCGCAACATTGTTGCGTTGCAAGTTGAAAAGCGTTGTTGCCCGTATTACCACCTTCGCTCTCAACTTGTCACGAAACAAATTTCGATGTTGCAAGTTGTGGCAACATGTTGCGCAAAGTTGACCTGAGTTCTACTTTTTGCAACAAACTTTCAATTTTATGATTCGCGTCACAACTTGCTACGCTTCACAACACCTGTGATTGGTCAATTTTCCGCACCAAAAACGCGGGAAAGATGGTGAGTAAAGCGCGCTCTTGACCTTGGGCAGATTTGGGCAGGAAGTAAACATGGCCGAGGTTGTGGAGGTTGAGAATGTTGAAACCCAAGATTGTGAATTTGTTAGTGAAAAAAAGTCAGAGGCCCAAAGAAAAGATTTGTGCAAACAACTTGAAAAGCACCCGTGTCTGTGGGAAACTTGTGGACCAGAGTACAAAAACAAGCCA